CTAAGCATAGTGGCATGGCTTCCATTTGTCTCAGTAAAAACCTTCACAACTTTTTTCTATCATCTACAGTGATATTTGGGAACCATCAAAAATAAAAACTATCAATAGAGCCAGATGATTTGTCTCATTCATTGATGACCACACTAGAGTTAGTGAAATATTTCTCATGAAGAAAAAATTTAAATCTACATAACTTTTTTCAATCCTTTCACAACATGATTTCCAATCAATTTCAATTCAAAATTCAAATTATCAAAACTAATAATGCATATGAATACTTCAACTCTATCATTGGACCCTACCTTACAATGAATGGTATCATCCATATGAATTCCTATGTTGAAATTCCATAATAAAATGGAATAGCTAAGAAAAAAAAAACTCCTCAAGATATCAAGGCCTATAATGTTTTCCTCAAAAGTTTTTTAGGGAGATACCGTGCTCATAGCTACCTATCTTATTAATAAAATGACAAGCAAAATCCTTGGATTAAAAGCCCCTCTCGATATTGTGATGGAAAAAAAAAAACCTCACGTTAGAGCATTCCCATTCAATCTTCTAGTATAAATATTTGGCCGTGTCTGTTCACTCCACCAACCAAATCGCACAAAACTTAAATATTTGGCTGTCTGTTCACTCCACCAACCAAATCGCACAAAACTTTACACAAAATTTATAAAATACATGTTTCTTGGATATGCTTCTAACAAAAAAAGGTGCAATTGATATTGTATTGTTACAAGAAAATAATATAACTCAATGTATGTTAACTTCAATGATATTTTATTGATATTTTGATGAAGAGTTCGGGTGAATAATGGACATGGGAGATTATTGTAAAGTCATTGCAACCTATTTCATTTACCTACACTACTTTGGATATCCACACTGATAAATTCATCACAACCTACTTCCCTCTAACCATCCTATCTTTTAATTTCCACCTGTTGTGAACATCCAACTTGAGAAAAACAACAAGAAACTTTGTTTGTACACTAGAAAAAAGAAATCCACTAAACAGGATAAAGACAATATATAATCACATGACTATTCACAACCAAGTCATAATTCACACATCTGTGAAGTTCCAAGAGAGGTGGAATCCAGTGGAAAAGACATGAAAAGTTGCACAAATTACCCTATCCAAGATTATATTGCATATGCGAAGTTATCATCAACTTATAAAGCATTTATATATAATCTTGATAATGTGCGGATACCCAAGTCCATTCATGAAACACTTCAAAGTCTAAAATGAAAAAAGGCAGTCGAAGAGAAGATCCAAGCCCTCGACCCAATGGCATATGGATCTTTGCAAAGCTTCCTCCTGATAAAAGACAAGTTGGGTGCAAATGGATGTTCAATATCAAGTGCAAAGCAGAAGGGAGCATCGAGAGGTTCAAGACTAAGTTGGTGACCAAAAAGGTTTCACTTAATCTTATGGGATAAACTACCAAGAGGCCTTGGCTCCATTGGCCAAGTTAAACACTGTAAGAGTTCGTCTTTCCTTGACAGTGAATAGAGGGTGGGAACTACATCAACTTGATATCAAGAATGTATTTTTGAATGGAGACCTTGAGGAAGAAGTGTATATGGAAATCCCACCATGACTAAAAAATGACTCAATTAAATATCTAATTTATAAACTAAAAAAGTCACTTTATAGCCTCAAACAATCTCCAAGAGCTTGGTTTGACAAGTTTGTCAAGACGATGAAAACTAATTGATACATTAATGCCAAGTGGATCATACACTATTTATAAAGCATGCCTAGGGAGGTAAGAAAATTATACTCCTTGCCTATGTAGATGATATGATCCTAGAAAATTATACTCCTTACCTATGTAGATGATATGATCCTGATAGGTGATGATGAAAAAAAGATTGGGAAGATTAAGAAGGTTCTTGTGACACTAATTTGAAATTAAGGATCTCGGAGTAATGAAATATTTTCTGGACATAAAAGTGGCAAGTACCAAGATAGATATTGTTAAACCTCAAAAAAAGTACATTCTAGAAAAACTAAAAGAGACAAAAAAGTTGAAGTGCTAATCAGTTGAGACTCATATGGATTTCAATAAAAAATTACATTCGGGAGAGAAAAGCACTAGTGGAAAAGGGTAAATAACGAAGGTTGGTAGGTAACCTCATCTACCTATCACACACTAGTCATGATATTCATTACTCTTATGGCATTACAGGTCAAAATATGAATTGTCCAAAAGAAAAATACTTGGAGATGTTTTATAGAATACTAAGATTCATTAATAAAAAGGCCCTTGAAAGAAGGTTACTATTTAAGAAATCTGACAACAGGGAGGTTGAGGTTTACACTGATGCTAGTTTGGCAAAAAAAACTCATGGACAGAAGGTCCACTTCTAGGTATTGTTCCTACGTGTGCGGAAATCTTGTCACTTGGAGGAGCAAGAAACAAATAGTGACCAATAAAAGTAGTGCAAAATCTGAGTACTGGGTACTTGCTTTGAGAATTTGTGAAAGAATGTGGATCCAAAGATTACTAAAATGAGTTTAGGTACTCTAATGTCAATCGATATAGATGATATTTGATAGCCAAACTGCAACTAGTATTGCAAAGTATCTGATGTATCAAAGCAGAACCAAGCACATTGAGATTTATATGCATTTTATCTCTGAAAAAGTCAATGGAGGTATTATTCACTTAATCTACATTCCAACTCATCTTTAAGTTGTTGATTTCTTCATTAAATCTCTAACTATAGGCAGCTTAACTGATATGAATACCAAGTTGGGGTTTTACAACATTTATGACCTAATTTGAAGGGGAGTGTGAAATTTTGAGTTTTTTATTTTAGTTTTATTCCCTTCTTATTATGTCATATTTCTTTCCTTCTTGAGTATTGTTTTCTATGATAAGTTATAATTAATGTAATTAATGTAATTAACCTTGCCTGAGCTATTTCTTATCATATAAGGAGAAATGTTATAATTTGATTATTGAGAAATAAGAGAATATGATTTTTCTTCACCTGTCTATAAATTTCACCATCAATTTGTAATAATTGATCAAAACTTAAATTACGTTTTAATTTTGGGACCAGGTGATATGCATAATTGGTGTAATCATGCATGCTTATACAATTTGATTCAAACCTATGAATCTTCTCTAAGTGCTTGTGAATATAATACGTATAAAGACCTAAATCAAACAAATTATAGATATACTAGGTGATCATTACTTAAGAAACCTAATTTGAATTTTATTTGCTATTAGAAATAGTTTAAATTGACTTGTGTAAAACATAAATTCCATGACCTAGCCGAAGAGCATTTAATTAAATCAAATTTAAAATTAACCAGTCATAAGTTGATTTATGCATGATTTGCACCTACTTGTCTAATTTACTTTCACATTCAACTGCATTGATTTTCATTTATTAATGTAAAATTCCAAGTACTTTATTCTTACATTTTGCATAGTTTACATATACAAGTTATACAAATTATCAAGCAAATCTATTTATTTTGATAATTTTTTTATGAATAATGAATGGGATTATCTTGTAAGAATGTCATTATTTAATCATACATCTTCACCTACTAATTTTCCGGATAATTATTTAACTTAGGAGGAGATAATTGTTCATATAATTTAATCTGAGGAATGCTGGATATTTATATAATTAATATACTTAAGGGAGGGTTAAATTTGTGCTTAAATGTTTAATCTTTTGGAAAAAAAATATATAAATGGCAACATATTTCAAACATTAAGGGGGAGAACATAATTTTTCTGCCACCAATTTTCTTAGTTCATATAAAAAAAAAAAACTATATTTCTCTTTTCAGTTGGGCGCATCATTTTGATGGTTACCAAAAAGGAGAGAAAATTTATATATTGACTTTATCTCTAAAATTTTCCAAGTATTAGGCAATAAACCAATCAAAAAATAAGAACTAATTGCCATATATGACAAACTAATATATCACAAAAGCCATATCATGAACACCATCGGGGCAAAATTCTACATGGTATTAGGTAAAGCACCTAAATTTCTAAGTGCAGCGTTTAGAGTCTTATCTACCTGGAGAATGATGTTGGCCGTAACTCTTAAACATTAACATGCTTTTAGTGTAATGTTGTAATGTTTAAATTTCCATTAAGAACTCCAAATTTAAGTGTGCTCATATATTTAACTTAAGTGTAACTCCCACTAAATTAATTCACAATGCTGTCAAATAGATTGATATGTTTGGTTCCATAGCCAAGATAATAATCATACAAACAAATAAGAAGTAATTTCTTTATTCATAGTGGAACATGCTTGGAAAGACATTTGAGTAATGAATTAAAGCAAATAAGTAATATTCGCAAATAATGTGTTAAGTTATAAACGAAATCTAATATAATTCAAATTTACATAGATAGACATATAATAGGTACATGCACAATATAGAATGTACATCTCTAGAGGGCCAAATTATCTTTTATATGCAAGTAAACAAACACCTATTAAACTAAGATGCTTAAGCTTACGTATAAGAGATAATCTACAGTACAAAATAACAACATAAGTTTTCAAACTTATCAAATGTTGAATATACAAGTACCCTAACACACATAAACTATGCATAAACATAACATATCAACATCAAAATGTGTTCATTTGTTCAGGTTTCTTGAAGCTAATTTGATAACTTAAGCTTGATTATTAAGGCTAGGAGATCATAAATAGAATAAAAATTAAAAATGTCCTAAAGATGTTAGGTGCATTTACATAAATACCACCCAATTCCTATGTACTTGCATATCTAATGCCTAAATGATTACATTTATACCATCCAAATCTATCATATCACATCAAAAATATCATTATTATAACTTTCAAATATTGAAATACGCCTTTTCATGCCTAGATAAGGTGTCATATATGTAAAAAGTGAATTTTAGGTGTTAAATATGCAAATAAGAATTTATTGGTATGTATGTAAATCTTCCAAAATGGCAAACTTTCCAAACCTCATCGGCTGAATGCTTCTGACAAGCCCCTTTCCAAGTGGCAACAAAACTATCAATTTGCTTAGTTGAAAGAACAAGCTGGTTCGCCTTCGTAGGATCAATCTTCATTATCTCATAGGCGGCGGCATCATAACTCTCAGGTTTCTCTTCATTACCAGTTGACAAATTTCTACTATTTCCATGGTTAAACATAGCAAGTTTTATACCAATCAACTTCAATTCATCAACAAAAAGTGAACCGTTGCATTTACAACCAGCATGTTTTTTGTTCTTTCTCTTCAGTGCTGGACAACATTCACAACACCTTATGGCAGAGGAAAACTTAATGTTACAAACATTCGAGGAGCTGGCCTCTTTACTAGTCTCATCTAGATGATCATTGAACACTAAATGTGTTTGTGTCTCACGTTGTTCTTTTAGTAAATCTCTTTCCTGGATTGATCTAAGAGCAGCTGACTCAGCCCTCCTAGCACCCTTTATGAATTTTATATACAACCTGCACCCGAAACCAGAGAAGAACGAATAAAAAATGGCAGAGATAACCAAACACTCAACCAAAAAACGTATAAATAATAGGGGCATTTACATGCATACCGCCTTATTCCTCCTATGTGTTCACATATCTAACACCTAAACTTTCAAATGTAAAATACCTCTTTTAATGTAAAAGTAGTGTGGTATAGAAATTGAAGTTTGAGTGTTAGATATGTAAATATATAGGTGTAACGAATAAATATGCAGAAGTCATTAATTTCCACGCACCCCATGCTCTGAATTCTAACTCCAAGATTCTCCCTTGCCGGAACAGAATACTTCTTCATGAGATAATCAAGGAACTCCTCCACTGTAAACTCCTTGTTCTTAACCTTGTAGAGAAAGACGGATAAACTGGATATCAAGTCATCAATCGTGATGCTGCACACTTCCTTCAAATCAGGAGGAATCAAAAAGTACTGACGGACAAGAGTATGTCTGAGAAGAGGCCCAAGCCCAAACTCCCCGAACTCTGCTACCCCCTCACTCTTACATATCTCTAATCCTAATTCATATACCGATGTCATCCTCCGAACACTAACAAAGCTGTGTATAAACGCGTTCACCTAATCATAAAAATAAAAACTTTAGCTGCCAAAACACAAGAGATTGAAAAAATAAGGGAGGCGCGGGGAACTGACCTTCCCCTCTACGAAATGAAGGTCACGGAGATAAGGAATGTCATGGAATCGAAACCCTATGGAATCCCACGAACTGACTTGGAGAGTAAGGGCTGCGGATTGGGAGACCTTCCACACCGAGACGTTCTCTCCGACGGAAAGGAGGTCTCTTTGGGCCTTGCTGACGGCGGCCTCAACCATTTCCCGGGATATAAAGCGAGAAGGATTAGAGAAAGAGGGGTTATGAAAGTGAGGATTTTGGAAGCTAGAATTAGGGTTTCCCGGAACGTAGAAAGAGGAGGAGGGTTGACCGGGAGTACGGCCACGGCCGCGTGGCGCACGGCCGCGCGCGCGGGAGGCGGATTGGCTTCCGTTCATGAGGAAAAGGAGAGCGGGATGTGGAAAGAGAAAGGAAAAAGTGACCGTTGAGTGGAAATGTTGGATTGTTGATGAAGTAAAGCTTGGACTTTTATAAGTAGTTTGAGTTGTGGTACGGCGCCAAGATCAGTTTAGTTAAAATGCTTCGGGATAACTTTTTATCTCGGTTGGTTATTATTATTATTATTATTATTATTATTATGCATATTCATGGAATTGGTTAGCTCTTTTCAGCTAGAAATTAACTGAAAATGTTTAAATTACAATAAAATTTAATATTTTTGAAAATAAAATATAAAAAATTAATATTATAATAGTATAATATTATTATTTATTATTTATTTAACTAATTCAAATCTAAGTTAATTGAATTTGATTGAATAAAAGATTGTGTTTCTTCAAACTCATAAATAGAATTCCAAAGAATATTGAATTCAAATAAATTATTCTTGTTCAATTCAATTATTTAACAAATAAATAGAGCAAGAGCTAAACACAAGCAGTTAGCGAGCTTTTTTTGGTAACTCTAACTCATAGGACTCATATTACATGGTTTCATGCTATTTAAGTTAGGAAAATTTTTAATAAAGCATTTTTCTAAATGTTATTGGATTAAAAGAACATTTAAAGAAAAAGAAAAATAAGAATCTTATCATTCGTTGTATGGGGCTAGCCTTATTGACGTGTGGACATAGGCTTTCCACATTCTTTCTTTTATGTGTTTCCTTCATTATATATTCTTATCTTTCTGATTCATTTCTTCTCCAGATCACCTTTATGATCAGGAAGAGAGACTCAATTGGAAAAGGGAATTATAAGATGCTAGACAATCTAACAACTCTTTAAAAAATATAAAAATATAAAAATAAAAACTAAAATAAAGGCAGGGAAGTAAATAAGAGGGAACCTAGCCTGCCTAAATATTACCAAGTTAAGCTAAAGTTTTGATTCTTGGTTGGTTCGGTAGTAAAAAAATTAAAATTGAATCGGGAACCGTAAATCAAAAAGTTGGCTTTTAAAAATTAAAATCCCAACTTTTTATTTAAAATCAAACCAAATTATTAAATTTGTTTGGTTCGGTTTGTTTTTATAGATAAACCAAAAAATGCACACCCCTACTACAGATTATAAAAAATAAGATTTGTAAATACATAAACATTGACAAATATAAATATATAATACATATTCAAGATTTAATTCATAAGCAAGTTAAGTTTTAATATCAAGGCTCAAGACTATGTGAGAGGTAGGTAGCTTTAGAAGTTATAACAAGCAAAACCATACACAAACATACACTAAAGCAAAAGAAGGTGAATTGGGCTGCATCTTAATAAGCGCTTATTTTAACATCTTCAACCTAACCCAACTAAAAATATGCATCAAAAAGCAAATTTAAACATACAAACTAATAACCAAATAATGCTTGTATTGCCTCCCAATTAGCAATTTGTTTAGCATCCTTGGCTAAACATTATACAATTAAGCTTTATGCTTTTTTCTCCATGATCCAATTTAATAATCCTCAATTTATTGTCCAATGTTTGAAAGTTTTGGAGTGTCGTCTAACGATATTGTTGTGTCACATATTTTCTTTTTTGTAAAATATTAAATCTTTCTTTTTTAACTTCTCATTAAAATTTATTGCAACATTTTTATTTACAATGTCGAATATTTGTCAAGGATTTAAGTAGGATGTGGTATAAGATCATGAATCTGAAAAGTCACTTCCTCATTTTGTGCTTAAATAATTAAGTCCCAATTTTGTAAATTAATGTTCGCTCTATCGATTGCAAAAAAAGTTCTGCCAAAAAATAATAGAAATCTTAGCATTTTCCTTCATATCTTGCATAATAAAATCAATAGAGAGGATGGTTTTTTCTAGTTTCACGTAGCTTGAAGTTCACTTATTCCTAGTAATTCAAACACTAAAAAATGCATTAGACTTATGCTAGTTCCTTAGTCACATAACACATTTCTCATAAATTGGTTTTTTATAGTGCATGGAATGAAAAACTACTTGGACCTTTCAATTCTTGTGGAAATTTTCTTTGAATTATAACATTATAGTTTTTTAGTTAATGCCGCGGTTTTAAAATTCAAAAAATTGTCTTTCATGTTCAAAAACTCCTTCATAAACTTTCCATAATTGGTCACTTGTTCACGTGCTTCAACAAACAGAATGTTAATAATGTGCTTCTTAAATATTTGTAAAAATTTAGAGAATAGTTGGTTCAATTTTTATTTAATCAAAATCTTAGTAAAATGTGGTGATGGTCTCTCATATTCTATTTGATGTGGTGAAAGTGTTTTTCCTCATATGGGGGCAAGTTTTTCTACAGGTCTATTAGGCTAAAATTCAAGCTCATTTATTCTAGGTTTCTCCACTTTAGGCTTTTTAAGCACATTCCCATTTCCAAGTCTAATGGTATTTTAATGCTCCACATTCTTGTCCTTTAGATTCACCTTTGTATTGCTAGGTAATGTTCCTTGGGATCTCTAACTTGATGAGTTAACCATTTGCCCAAAAGTTTTGTTTCAATTTTCCTAATAGTTGCAACATGACCTTGTATTTGAGTCCCCATATTCAGTAGCACTAATTTCAAAGATAGTCTTTTTTTTTTAATTGGGGATTAGAAGTGAATTTAAGAGGGTATGTGAGTCTTATGCTGCCACTACCCTAATTATTCCTATTACTTAAGAAGTTGAATTGGTTACAACTCCTTTGTTGATTTCCTATCCCTTGGTTATTATTATTCCAATTAAAGTTTGAGTGGTTTGTTTAACATAAGTTATATGTGCTAGAATATGACTTATTTAATCTATCCCCTATGATGTTCAAGGTTTCCAACATAATTTTATTGTTTGTTTAGAAACATAATCCTTACTTTCAATATTGTTTTGCTAAGCATCTTTTTTAGAATCTCGAAGCTTGGAATTGAAGTATTTCTATTTTCTTATTGCTCATTTACTGCTTCTCTAACATGTACGGTGAGGATTATCTATCTAGCATGTCTAGAGATGGTACTTTCAACATTAAGGGCATTATTTATTTCTGCAATTGTTTTTAAGAAGATATGTTATGGATTATAATTAATGGGTTTAATATTTAAATATTTTGTAATTATTTTATTTGAATTTGGTACTTGTTTTAATGATTTTATTTTATTTGAATGTATATCATAGAATGAGAAAAAAATAGTTGCACATATTGCCCTGCACCACAAGAGAAATTTGGCTATTTTGATAAAAAATTTATGACATATTACTCTATTGTTATGTCATTTAAATCATATTTAGTTCTTTTTTATATTTTTGACATCATTCAATTCAACCTTCAAATCTTGAACCTCTTTATCTTCTGTCATTATAGCTTTCAAAAATTTGGTATTATTTATAAAAAAAAGTTTTACATCATGACTTAAAATTGAGAAGACAATTTTTAACAAAAATTTTAAAGGAATATTGTAAGCTTCAGCTTCTCCATAATGATAAAACTGTGTCATCTCATAAAAATACAATTATATAAGTCAAATTCTTTATTTTATTTAATGTGAGTACATTAAATATATAAATACTAAATCATCTATTGATTGATAGTGAATATATCTGTAATAAATGTTCTATTTATTTATTTATTTGTTTTTAGTATCATCTTACTTGAATTCCTAAGATAATTATGATTAAATATGTCTCATAATAATTGAAATTGGTCGAATATCTTTATTATTTATTAATATTATAAGAAAATTTACCCAAAAGTTTTTTTATGGTAAAATTACTATCAATCTTGTATAACCTCTTATATTTACAAAATGCTTTTTAAACTAGAATCCTTTAGAAATAGTTTAACCTAGTTTGAACCATTGTTCCTGCTTTAGCATAAACATTTGTTTCAACATAATTTAAATTTTTTTTATCATTCTCAATTTTTAATCACAAGTGTTGGTCCAAGTGATGCCTCCTCTTTATGAGCTCACATGAATCTCTTTACTCCTTCACATATGTTAATCTTGTCAATGCTTGCCCTGCAACATCCATTATAAGCTCTTCTTCTCTATCACATTTTGTTAATATGTTGATGCCTTCGCCAATCAATCCCATCATGAATTCCTCATACCCAAGTTGTGATGCCTCATACCCAAGTTTCGATTCATCGATGCCTGCAAACAAACATCATGAAATCTTCTTCTGCTTCACACACCTCCAACACTTTGATGTTATTACACACCCTCTATCTTTCGATGCTTATGCTTGTGAGCCCTATCACAAATTTCATCATAATCTAAAAAACATAGATGCCCCACTAGGGCTAGAATCAAATTTAAACAATGATTATTTGAATGTCAACATAAAAATGTTCAAATATTGTACTGCGCAATTGTTTAAATGTGAAACACGACAATTTAAATGTAATTCAAATCTGTGTGAATGATGTGCCATGAGAATTTGATGATTCAACAAAAGTTAAAATTATGTTTGAATAAAAAATTCATCATGGATCAAATTAAGTGAAATCATATTTAAGTGAGTTTAAATCAATTTAAAAAATATTTGATTTCAAAAAATGAATACAAAAAAGCTTTTGTTGAAAATTATTTCTTTCATCCATTTAATCTATAAAAAAGCAACAATATTGATCATACAAGACTATTATGAATTAAGTTTTAATAGAAAAGTAGATTTTAGTTAATTTAATTGGAAAAAGTTGTAAAATATTTTCAAAATTTAAATTTGAATTTTATCAATATCAAATTTATATCTTTATGTTCACCAAAAAGTGCATCATAATAGAATAAAAACTGTTACATTCAAATTTATCCGTGATCACACCCAAAGAATAGAATATATGCAAGGAAATAATATATATATATATATATATATATATATATATATAATGTGAGAGAGAGATAGAGAGATATGGGTGC